CACACTCACACATATCTACCTACGTAACATATCTACATATTAGGGGATCAAAATGTATTTTTGGAACTGAATAACAATACTTAATAATTGAACAAAATTATTTTCACCATTTGGGGTCAAAATAATTAATTGATGTTGCACTAGGGCAGTAACAAAACTGTCGAAAGGCGGGTAAAAATGAGGAAGTATATATATATATATATACACACACACACTCACACATATCTACCTACGTAACATATCTACATATTAGGGGATCAAAATGTATTTTTGGAACTGAATAACAATACTTAATAATTGAACAAAATTATTTTCACCATTTGGGGTCAAAATAATTAATTGATGTTGCACTAGGGCAGTAACAAAACTGTCGAAAGGCGGGTAAAAATGAGGAAGTAACAAAATGTATTTCAATGCTGTGGAGTGATTTGAATACTGTGGGTAATCTGTTGGCCTATCTGTCATATCTTCATAGTGTATATTTTTGTGTTGCCTGTGTGTGTGTGTTGGTGCTTGTGCAGGTGACTCCAGGTGTTTCCTGTTCTCTGTGTTCCCCAGACTGAGAGTTCATACAGCTACAGGTTACAACCAACACTTTATGTACCTCAACCAGAAGCAGCAGACCATGCCCAACGGACTGGTGAGACAAAACTTTGACGGCGCATCCTTTACTGTAACTTAATTTGAGCTAAAATATTAAATGTACCCTTAGTTTATTAGAACGTACACGTACAGTATCTATTGTTAGCTAAACATGCTTAACTGTACAAAGTAGACAAGCACAAGTGGTCAGATTTGAATTACAAAGTATTGTTTGCTCTTTATAGAGTGAGGGTAATGTTCAAACTTTAAATAAAAAGCACACCAAACACCCTTCAAGCATGAGGCAGGAGAAGAATGTGATTTTCCCTAAGCGAATCAATAATAACAACAATGGAAGTAATAATAACAGACAAATTATAAAATATAATTATACAGTGATAATCAGTGATCAGAAAAGTATGAGTCCCATTATGCATTTAGAGAGTCCCAAATTTCGAATTCTGAAATGGTCACTTCTTCAATTGCATATGATAATAACACAAACAACAACAATATACATTGATAATAGGTTTATTTCTTATAAACAATTGCTGCAAAATTTTAAATTATTCAGGGATACAAGATTTGCTGAGAAATAGATTCGTATTTCATCCCATGGTTCAGTCTTTGAATTCATAAATTCTCCTCTCTTTACTCTGCTTCCAATGATGCAAGGCTTTCTCAAAGTCACCTTTTTATCGCAAAAAATTATCCAACTTTAGCTGCTGCTTCTGTGATATCTCCGCAATAAAGTTTCACAACACTTGTTCGCAACACTTGTTTTAACGTGACACAACTTGGCAGTCGTCTGCCGATCTCGCCAATCTCGTCTCGCGAGAACGGAAATCTCGTCACGCGAGATTACTTAACGCGAGATCAAAACAACAATAGTGGCGTTTGTCAAACTGCGATCGTTGCTGGAAAACAAGATGTACCGTCGTTTTTTTTTTGTTTATCCTGAGAAATTTCCTTGCGTCCAAAAAACGCACATTATTTGGAACTGTGCGTCCCACGGGAAAATTATGCCTCTAGGACGCGGGACGCAGAGCTAACGAGATGGCTGATTATATATGTACATTACATCAATCTGCAACATTATTATTACACAGTACATAACATGACAGAACATAACATGATGATTTTACAATAAACTACACACAAAAAAAAAAAAAAACAATCGTCATGGTCCATCCATCCATTCATATTCTACCGCTTTTCCAGGGTCGGGTTGCAGAGGCAACAGCTTTAGCAGGGAAGCCCAGACCTCCCTCTCCCCAGCTACTTCTTGCAACTCTTCCCGGGGGATCCCGAAGCGCTCCCAGGCCAGCTGGGAGACATAGTCTCTCCTGCGTGTCCTGGGTCGTCCCCGGGGCCTCCTACCGGTGGGACATGCCCAGGGAGGTGTTCAGGAGGCATCCTCATCTGATGCCCACCTCATCTAACCCTTGACATGTAGGAGAAGTGACTATACTCTGAGCCCCTCCCAGATGCCTGAGCTTCTCACTTTATCCCGAAGGGAGAACCTGAACACCCTGCGGGGGAAACTCATTTCCGCCACTTGCATCCGGCATCTCGTTCTTTGAATCACGACCCATAGCTCATAAACATAGGTGAGGGTAGGAACGTCGATCGACCGGTAAATTGAGACGACAGACAACAGACAGATAGACGGTCGCTGCACCAATCTGCCTGTTGATTTCCCGATTCCTTCTGCCCTCACTGGTGAACAAGACCCCAAGATACCTAAACTCCTCTACTTGGGGCAAGGTCTCATCCCTGACCTGGAGCGAGAGCTCCACCCTTTTCCAACTGAGGACCATTGTTTCAAATTTGGAGGTGCTGATTTTCATCCCAACCACTTCACACTCGGCTGTGAATTGCTCCAGTGGGAGTTGGAGAGCCCTGCTTGAAGAAGCCAACAGCACATCATCATCTGCAAAAAGCAGAGATGCAATACTCGGGCCACTAAGCCGGACACACTCAACGCCTCGGCTGTGCCTAGAAATTCTGTCCATAAAGGTTCTGAACAGAATTGGTGACAAAGGGTAGCCTTGGGCAGAGTCCATCTCTCACTGGTTGATGACTTCAACCCCAGAGATAGGAGAGCCCACCTCAGAGTCCACAGACTCTGCTTCCTCTACGGAAGTAGTGTGGGTGGAGTTGAGGAGGTCTTCAAAGTATTCTGCCCACCGCCTCACAATGTCACGAGTCGAGGTCAGCAGCACCTCATTCCCTCTGTACTGTGTTCATAATGCACGGTTTCCCCCTGAGATGTCGAATGGCGGACCAGAATTTCATTGAGCCCGTCCGAAAGTTGGCTTCCATGGCGCCACCAAATTCTTCCCACGCTTGAGTGTTTGCCTCGGCGACCGCTGACGCTGTGTTCCGCTTGGCCAGCCGGGACCCATCAGCTGCCCCTGAAGTCCCACAGTCCATAAAGGCCTGATAAGCCTCCTTCTTCAGCTTGACTGCTCCCTTACTGAGGGTTTCTAGCAGAATTTAGGGGTCACTGCCACGACAGGCACCAACCACCTTATGGCCACAACTCCGATTGGCCGCGTCAACAACAGAGGCACGGAACATGGTCGCGGACATTGCTGAGCTGGGGGGCAATGAGTATGTGCACACCTTCTCTGTGCCTCTCACCGTGGCAAACTCCAGAGTGGAAGAGAGTCCAACCCCTCTCAAGGAAACTCATACCAGAGCCCAGGCTGAGTGTGGAGGCAAGTCTGACAATATCTGGTCGAAGCACCAGCTCGGTCTCCTTCCCTGCAAGTGAGGTGACATTCCACATCCCTAGAGCTAGCTTCTGTAGCCGAGGATTGGACAGCCAAGGTCCCCGCATTTGTCCGCCGCCCAGCTCACTTTGCACCCAATCCCTATGGCCCCTCCAATAGGTGGGCCCATGTTGCCTCTTCGGGCAGTAGTAATTTTAACCTTACACTGCAAAAATAATTTCCAATAGTGGATCAACTGATACAAAGAAAGTCAAAGTTCTTCTTAGTTATTTTCTACAGTGTCTCTTTATGTGCTCAAACTTGAGTTATGCATCATTATTTTTAAAAGTCCAATTACATTATGTTTTGAAAATGTGTTTTGGTAATTTCTTTACCAGGGCATGGGCGGCCAGCATAGTTACTTTGGGCTGTGGTTGGATAGTGATTTTGGACATGGTCACAGCCGTGCATGGCCAAAATGTACTACCTTTGGAAGCCCTCAACTCTCGGGGGACGAGGACTTTATTTTGGATTCAATGGAAGTATGGGCAGTTGGAAAGCCCCATGAGCCGGAGGAGGTAAGAGCACCCAATTCTCATTATCTCAATTCTCAAGCCATCTTCAGCCTGAAGGCTGTGATGCGCAATTCATATTTTTGTTGAATCCAATCTTTTTAAGTACTCATTCACATTACAGAAAGAAGGTGGGAGGAGGTAGAAATATTTTGGGAATATGAAGTAGCGCTCCTCGACCACCTCACACTGCTACTAAACACGAGGTAACGTAAAAAAAAAAAAGAAAAACAAAAAGAAAAGGAAAAAAAACCCTTCTCCTTGGCTGAATTTCTACTCTCACCACAAATATCTAGTTTATGCTTGATGTTTCAAGTGGGATTAAATAAAGTCAAATGTAAAGACAACAAGTGTTTCTCAAAACAACTCTGCAAATTCATGGACGATGTTATCGTTTCTCAAGCAATCTCAACTACCTGTGCTGAGTGCGTATTGGTCTTTTGATTGATGAATAGGTCGGATGTGTGCAGATGAGCGTTACCCTGTATGTCAATCAAATAACGGGATTGATGATAGGCTGACATCGTAAGTTCTGCTGTACTTAGCGCCGTTGTTTGGATGGCAGCGCCACCACTGAGGCGTTTTCGACGCTTGTCATATGAAAGCCCAGGAGCCGCATTGAACCAGCCAAAGAGCCGCATGCGGCTCGCGAGCCGTGGATTGACAACTCCTGTTCTCGATGAAAGAGGAATCAAAGTGTCCTTTCATCAGTGGATCAGAGACTTTGGATCAGAGAAATTGTGCACACGTCTGCTACCAGCGATGTTTGAAAGTAAACAAGAAGCTCTGGCATCCATTGATGAAAAAATAGATTGGTTCACTTCTCCTGTTCTACTCTGTTCCAAATATGCATCCGAGCTCCGTGCCGACTCTCCCCTCCTCATCCTCGGCTCCACAAGACCTTCATCCAACCCA